CCTCCACACCCCCTCGTCCCCCCACCCCTCCGCGCCGCCCCCAAGGTCGCGCACCACCTGCGCGCCTCCCCGCCCATCGAGCTGCTGAAGCCCTCCTGGGAGCCGTGGCGCGGCGGCGTGCTGTCCCTGGACGCCGTCGTCGCGCGGCTCGCACAGCTGCTGCCGCCCACGTTTGAGGGCCTGCAGCGCGACTTCGCGGTCGGCGTCGTGACCGCGGAGGGCGAGCACCTGCTCATCGACTCGGGGCCGCTGCCGGAGGCGGTGGCGGCGTCGGCGGCGATCCCGTTTGTATTCTCCGCAGTGGACGTGCCGGGTTAGCGGGCGGACGCCCCTGGGCGGGCGCGGGGGCGGGACGGTATCTGCGTGAGCCGGAATCAGCGGCCGCTTGATGCGCACTGTCCCGAATTTCTTACCAGACCGCTCGAGCATGCGTTGTTCTTCGTGCGTTTGTTATGTTGCCCATGATTGTGCTATCACATTGCGTGTGCTGCGCCGCAGACAAGCACTACGGGCTTAAGGACGGCGGGGTCGTTGACAGGATCGGCCTCAAGGCCTGGCGCACGCGCCGCCGACGCCAGGCCAGGGCCGCCGCCGCCGCCGCTGCCGCTGCGCCCGGGGGCCCCTGGCGCGCGCCTCTCATCCCCTGGCTTGGCAGCGGCGGCGGCGGCGGCGGCGCCACGGACACGGCGCGGGCGCAAGGCCCGCCGCCGTGCCTCGTGCACATCATTGAGCGCAGCTCTCCCTTCAGCGGCGCGGACGACCCCGCCGCCACGGGCGAGAGGAACGTGCACGTGGTCAAGTCCCCCAAGTCGGGGGTCAACTTTTTCGATCTGGGAGACTTTGACCAGCAGTTTGACGCCGCACGGAGGCGCGCGCGGCCGGCGCTGGAGCAGCTGCTCGCCACTGGGGCTGTGCCAAGCGGTGCCGGCGGCGGCGGCGGCGGCCGCGTCAGGTCGGCGCGCGGCAGTGGCAGCGGGCGCCGGAGCTTGGCTCAGAGAAGTAAAGCTCAGTAATTCTCTTGGGTGCGGCCGGTGGCCGCAGCGGCGGCGGCGGGGCCGCCAGCTGGACACATCCACATCTGAATCTCACAACAGAGTGACTCATGGCCGGCTGCCCTTGCAATATGGGGCCCGCCTCCGCCGGCACTTGCATTGAATGGATTGCTTGCCACCCCGTTAGAGCTGCTGTGTTCTGCGGCGGGGGGCTTGGATGGGGGCCCAAGCTATGTCTCTCTGCGTAGCGACCCAATTCAGCGAGCAGGGAGGCCCTCTACGCCGTATACATTGTTGCATTCAAGAGGGCAGCTTATTGACAACAGGCGCCACGCCCCTGCAGGCGCTTGCCCCCACACCGTGAGCGGGCGGCAGCGGGCCTTAGCGAACCCCCGCTATTTGGCGGGTTGGGATGTGTACATGAGAGCACCAGGATGAGCTCCCCATGCACGCAGCGCCCTGTGAAAGGTCAACCCATGCAATCAGGCGGGTGCAGGTGCACCCTGACAGTCTGTGCAACGCGCAGCAAGCAGCTACTCACATTCGCCTACCGCGAGTTGACTTGTAATAGCCTGGCTGACTGCGCGCCCAGACCATCTCTTGGGTTCCTCTGTGAGGGGACCCCCAGGACAGCGGAGGCAGCAGCATCACAAAGCATTGGCCTGCGTTGCCGGAAGTTGAAAGCCTTCATACATCACAACCGCAGCCATCAAAACTCAGCCGCTGCGGGCTGTGCCGTCATGCACCCTTTTCAGCCGTGGCGTGCAAGCAGTCGGTTGGCCATGGGCGCGGGGGCCTTGCAGCACCGACCAGACGCGCGCAAACGCACTGCTCCCACAGTGTCCACCACACCCTTACCCACTGGACCTTGGGCAGCCTCCATCTGCCCCATGGTTTTTCAGGGCTCGGCCCAGTGCTGCCCCTCGCGCCCTCGTTGGGTGCTAGTATCTTGGCAGTAGAGCGTACTCAGCACTGAGCTTGAGCATCAACATGCCGTGTCGCCACCGTGTGGCGGCAGCTTGCAGGCCTTGAGGGGGAATCGGACCGCCCGCCGCGCGCCCGTCTGCGTAGATTGTGCGCGCTAGGTGGTTCATGCGCAGTCGGTGGTGCGACGCCCCCGGACGTTTTTCTCATTGCGTATGGGGCGCTGCGGTCGTTCGGTCTGAGCGTGGCTCACTCCGGGCCCACCAGCAGTTGGTTGTGCGGTCTGAGACCGCCGGTCTCAGGCGCCCGCGACGACCAATTAGTCAGCGCCACTGCATTGCAACACACTCCATGCTGAGGAAATCTGTCAACGGTGTGATCATTGAGCGGAAGGCTGCTGCCAGGCATCATCCCAATGGTTTTCAAGTAGGCGCCGGTCACCGACGACACCCCACTTGTCACCACGCGTGACTGGACGCTTATTTGCGGGCCAGCAGATTCTTCAACCGTACCATTACATAGAGAACTACATCTTACATTATCAAGAAGAAGCAACAAGCCAAGAAACGCGATCTGCAAATCGATTGCAGTTGTGTTGCGCCAATTGCTCGTTTGCTACATCAGGCAGAATGGCGTTGCAGTGTTATCGTTTGGAACGGCAGCGGCGCTAGTACGAGTTGGTGGTGCTTGCCCAGGAAGGCGGCACAGGCTCACAGGCGGCGCGCGACTGCGCCTTGGCTAGGCGGCTGAGCGGAGTGCCGCTGCGCGACAATGGATATGGAGCAGATGCTGGCTGTCATAGAGCAGGCGTGCGAGGAGTTTAAGGTGCGCACCCAGATGCACAGTGCGCAAATGCTGCACTGCTGTGCGCCGAAACAACACCTGCCCCCGCCACTGCCCCCCCTCCCCTAAAACACCACCATGTCGCCCCTCCCACGCAAGCCACGGCCCCCCTCCGCCCCCGCCCCTCCGCGCTCTCTGTGCGCAGCACCCCGCGACGCAGCCGCGCGCGGAGCAGGTGCTGCTGCAGTTCCGCCGCAGCGCGGCACCCGCCGCCGCGTGCCGCTTCATCCTCGAGCGCTCGGCGTCCGTCGAGGCGCGGTTCCATGCCGCCTGCACGCTGCGGGAGGCCGCGGTCCGCGAGTGGGCGTCGACGGCGCCTGCCGACAGGGCGGCGCAGCGGTCCTACGCGCTCGCATACGCCAGCCACCATGCGGCGGAGCCGGGGCTGGCCGTCGTGCGCGCGGCGCTCGTGGGCGCGGCCGCGCTCATGCTCAAGCGCGGCTGGGGGGAGATGGCGCCCGAGGAGCGCGCGGCGTTCTTCCAGGTAGCGCGGGCAAGGTTGCCTGCAGGCCGTGTTTGATTCGGGCTGCACATGCTTTGGTCGCGGCTCGGTCGAGACGGGGCGGGCCGTTTCCGTCGTTCTCAGCCATCCAGCGGCCGCGGGGCCGCGCCCGGCTGGTGTTGTGGGCCGCGTGTCATCGGAGACCCTCGAGCCGCCGCGATGACGTCCAGTCACGGCAGCGCAGCATGCCGCACCGCACCCCCCCTCCCACCCTTTCCGCGCCCGCCCCGGCTGCTGGCAAACCCCTGCCATCCGGCCCCCCACTCACGCGCTCGCCCACGCACACACACGAGCGGTCCATAGGAGGTCCACGCCTCCGCGCAGCCGGCCGACGGCCCCGGCGCGGCCGCGCGCCTGCGCACGTCGCTGGAAGTTTTGGAGGCGGTGGTGGGCGAGTTTGGGCTGTCAACGGCGACAGCGCTGGGGCTGAGCTGGGATTACCACGAGCGGTGCAGGGCGGAGCTGGAGGCGAGTGCGGCGGGCGCGGGCGGGCTGGCGTGCTGTCGCGCGGCGTGGCCTGGAGACATCGGCTTGCCATTGGGTTGTGATGGGGCGCGGCGCGCGCGGCGGCCGATGGATTTGGCACAGCTGTCGCGAAGTTGGGTCATGCGGGGCGGCCGTTGCGACGGCCACCTTGCACAAGCACACCACCAATCCTTTGCAGCAACCCCAAATCCAACCGGCCTGGCCGTCGCGACCTCCCCTCCTCCATTTGACGTGGCTCTATCTTCAAACTCCCCAACCGCCCCAACCGCCTCGACCAACCCAACCGACCACGCCCCACAGGCCCAGTTCCTGCAGCAGTTCTTCCTCCACGCCCTGGCAGTCGCCCGCTCCACCGCGGCGAGCGGCGCCGCCCTCAGCGGCGAGGACGCCGGCGCCTGCCGCGCCGCCATGGCTCTCATGGCATCGGTGTTGAATTGGGGGTTCAGGGCCGGCGGCGGCGGCGGCGGCGGCGCCGCGGCGCCCTTCGGAGCGCCGCCCCGCAACGGCGGCGGCGCGGAGGCCGCCGCCGCGCTGCGGCCGGGGCAGGCCTGGGCGGAGCTGCTGCTGGATGAGTCATCCACGGACTGGCTGCTGGCGCTGCTGCAGACGCTGCGCGGCGGCGGCAGCGGCGGCGGGGCAGGCCAATTGGCAGAACCCGCGCGGCAGCTGGTCGTGTCTTTCTGCAGCTTAGTGGGCGACGTCTTCCCGCGGCCCGCGCCCGGCGAGGCCGCGGCGGCGGCGACGGTCGGCCACTGCGCGCGGATGCTGCGGGCGGCGCTGCCGTGGGTGACGCCGGCGGGCGCGGCGGTGCGGGCGGCGCTGGCGGGTGACGAGGGCGAGGTGGTGGACGCGTGCAGGCGAGTCATCGCCCGTGACTCATGCCTGTTTGGGGCGGCGGCGCGCGCGGTTTCGAGGGTCGGGCAGGGATGTGCGGGGGGCGGGAGTTGTGGCAGGCGCTGCGTATGGGGTGTCTCACATCGGATGGCGTCAGGGCTGGGTAATGGGGCGTGTGGGTCATGCCGGTCTGGCTTTTTTAGCAGGCAACTCCCATGCCAGTTGCCTCACCCCACAACCAACGGCCACTGCAACCGCCCTGCCAAACCGCACACCCGCTCACCCATGCACACTGCACACCCACAGACCCCTGTGCCCCCACACCCACGTGCCCACAACACCGGCACACTTACACGCCCACACGCCCACACAGCTGCGCGCCCATACGCCAACCCAGCAACACACCTACACACCCACACAATCGCCACCTGTACCTTCAAACAACCGCAGGGCGCTGTCGTCGCTGGCAGCCAATCACAAGCCCGCCGCCCTCGCCGCCGCCGCCGACGCCCTCGCGGCCGGCGGCGGCGGCCCGCACGCCTTCCAGGCCCTGGAGGAGCTGACGCGCCCCTGCCTGGAAGCAGGGGGCGCGGCGGGCGCGGACGCGGCGGAGCCCTGGGTCGCCGACTGTACCGACATGCTGTTGGGCGCGTGGTCAGCGATCCTGTCCCCCCAGTGCAGCTACGCGGCCGCGCCCACCGGGCCGCCGGCCGGCGCGGCGGGGTGCGCGGCGCGCGTGTTTGCGGCGCTGGTGGAGGGCGCGCTCGCGGACGCGGCGGCGGGGGCGCACGAGGTGCGGCACCGCACGCGCCCGCGCCCGCGCGCTGCGCCCGGCCTGCCGGGCGTCGCCGGTTTTCGTACTCAAGGGATCCTTTTGCTGAGGGAACTCGCGTCACCCGGTGTCTCCCCGGGCGCAGCCGCCCACAAGGGGCGGCGGGACCCGTGGCTGTGCATGCCGCCGTCACCCGCGGCAGCCGGATGACGTCGTCCCAAAGATCCTTGCAGCGTCCGTGCGTCTGCCACCACGTCCCTGTGTTCCCGCAGCTCAGTCCAATGGCGCCTCGCGTCTCAATTCCTCACGCGCGCCGCGCCCGCCGCCACGCAACCCGTCCCCCAGGATGCGACCGAGGAGGAGGACGTCGGCGCCGGCGCCGCCGCGCGCGACGAGTGGCTCTCCCGCGCCGCCGCCCTCGCGCGCGCCGCGCCGGCCGAGTCCCTCGGCCTGCTGGCCGACCGGATCGCGGACAACCAGCGCGCGCTCGCCGCGGCCGCCGCGGCGGGCGCTGACGTCAGCGAGCACCTCGAGGCGCTCTGCTGGCTCGCGCGCGCGTCGGCGCACGCGCTCGCCGACAGCGGCGCCGGCGAGACGCCGCTGCCGCCCGAGGCGCTGCTGCTCGCGCTCGCCGCGCCGGGCGCGGCCGGCGCGGCGGCCGGCGCGGCAGCGGAGCGGCTGTCGTGCGCGCTGCTCGAGCTCTGCGGCCTGTGCCTCAGCCCAGGCGCGACCGCGGCCGGCGCGTGCAGCCCGCGGCTTATGGAGACGGCCCTCTGGGCCGCGGCGCGCTGGGCGGACACCTACTTGCTGCCCGAGGAGGAGCCGCTGCCAGAGCCCCTTGAGGCGCGCTTCGGCGCCGCGGGCGGCGGCGGGCGGGCCGCGGTCGAGCTGCTCGCCAGCAGCGCGAACCGCTGCCTGACGGGGTACCCCGGGGAGGCCGAGCTGCAGGGCGTCGTCACCGGCGCGCTGCTGCCGGCGCTGGTGCGGCGCCGCGCGGTGTGCGCGGCGCTGCTCGGCTGCGAGCCGTGGCGGCAGCTGGGCGGCGCGTTCGCGGCGCGGGAGGCGGTGCTCGCGCGCACGCTGCCGCAGAAGCAGCAGCGCGCGCTCGCGCGCAGCCTGTGCGCCGCCGCGGCTGGGTTCGAAGCCGGCGACAGCACCGCCAACGGCGGCGGCGGCGACGGCGGCGCGCAGCAGCAGCAGGCGAGGGACCACCAGCGGCAGCAGGCGGCGTGCTACGTGCACGGGCTTATGGAGCCCGCCGCCAGGGAGCTGGGGGCGCTCGCGGCGCTCGTGCCGCCACAGCTCGCGGCGGCGGCGGAGAGGGCGGACGTACAGCTGCAGGTCGGCCGCGGGGGCCGCGGGGCGCTGTCGAGCTGCATCAGGGCGCCGTGCTCTCCTGCATGCCGCACTGCCTCCTGCATGCGCGCTGCCGCGGAGGTGGTTGGGGGCAGCTGTGCACACCACCTTGTATATGATTCAAAAGACGTGTCCGCACCGCCCCGCATCCGCCTCCTCGGGGCAGCTGGGCACTTGCTGCCCCAACCAAAATCGCACGCCCCACCCCCCCCACCCCTCCCC